TTTTCATGTTCCTTTTCGCCACTCTGTGGCTCCCTCACCATTTTACTCGCCTCGCTGCATTCTATTTGCTGCACATTTCTTTCTTACTTCATATCTACCTTTTTTGTTTGCCGACGTTCATATTCTATTTCTGTTGCAATGGCGTCATTATTATTTAGCTTCTCCGCTTCTCCCCTGCATGTAAGTATAATTTTAGCTTTGTTCATAGAACGTTTGTGGCTGTTGAAGTAAAAGGTAGAGAGGTGAAGTAGAAAAAGCAAAAAGTCAGAAATGGAAGTTGCAACTTTATTGTTATTACTAAGTGTTCGTTTATGTTGATTGTACGCATACATATATGAATGTAACTATGTAAGTCAAGAGTGTAGAAGAAAGGAAAACTTTCTGTTGGCGCTCCCACAAAAAGCAATTTTTGCTATAATTTCAATTGCTAAATTCATCTGTTATATTTGATGAAATGCGTACACATAACACCTACATACATATTTACATATATGTAGTAATATATAAAAAATAACATATATATTGTACATATAAATGATTTTATTAAATTTTAAAAGTTATAAGAAAAAAAGGTTTATTACAAAGATTTTTGTTTAAGTTTATTAAACTATGGAATGCTCATATATGAAAATAATTGAAATAATTTCTGCATCTGTTGCTTAAGATCAATTTCAGCCAAACCGAAGTCGTCATGATACTTAATTTTTTTTACCAGATCAGTTAAATTTTTGGACAATTGATACACAAAAACTGTGTTAACTTATATTCAGATCTGATCGGTAAAATTCATATCTATAATTAATTTTAACCTTACTTACGTGTTAGCTACTAAGGATCAAACTATTCGCAGAAAACAAACCTACAAACTCCCGAGAAATTTTTCGTAGTAATATTTTACCAATTACATTAGCTCTTTTCGTTTCGGCAACGATTAGAGAGTAGTGAAACAAACTATACTGCAGAATCACTTTTGCCTCAGTTTTAACCCTGATCTACTCGATATATTCATTTTCCTTGACATACTTTACTCTTTTCTAAGGGCATTTTTACGAAAGTGTTCGCGAACAGTTTTTATGTCTGAATTGGTTCGAACTAGGCAATGACGACAAACTCCCTTTCTGTCATCAACTTATACGTTATAGACGTTTAGGTAAAAAGATTAATAGAGTGGTAAACAAACATTTTCGAAGTGTTAAGATTGAATTGAATATTATAAAAGATTAAACACTCCAAACAAATTATAGCAATAAAAAAAACAGCAATTTTCTTACCAAAATTCAACGTGATAACTTTGTTGTTACTGTTACATATGATATACGTCAAAACTTAATGCATCGGTTTGATTCGCAGTTTTAGTTATTTTTCATAACCTATATGTGAAGGGCTTGCGTGGTTATTATGTTATGTCTCCCATTTTTACGCTGTGTAATGAGAAGCTTGAGAAAAATATTTACGCAAATCTGTATTAAATTTAACTGTTGTACCGTGGCGTGTGACTTAGTTGTAGCACTAATTTTAATTTTTCGAACAAAGATATTTAATTTATTGTTGGGATGTTTTTGTATGTGATTTGTTCTCAATTCTTTGATTTGCAAAATGTCCGTTCATTAAACTCCAAGTGCTTCAAGTACCAATCTGTTCAATAATTTCGTGCAAATTTTATAAACTCAATAACGTTTAGTTAGTCTCAGTGGAGCTTCGTAAGCTAAACATATACCTGCCGGGGTAGTAATTTCCGAAAAAAAAAAGTTATGAATACGGAAGGTACAAAAATTTGTGTGATTAATTGATGTGTATTTACATTTTTCCGGTAATTTATATACTATCATATCCTCCAGTTTAAATTAAAAACAAAATTTGATGATCACTTATTATTTTATCTGCGACTGTATGCTAGCGTGATGTTATTGTGTTGCGTAAACATTTATTTTTAATCATGACGTTAACCGAGTTGTATCGACTAATATTTTGTTAAAACAGCTGTGTTTCTATATACTTGTCTACCATATACATAAATATATACAATAATTTAACCGTGTCAAAATATTATTTTGTTTTCAAACCTATGTTTGTTATGCAAGCTCTTTTATTTCAAGTTGGCTAGTTCAATTTTTGAAGTCATTGCGTGTAGACCTTCAAAGAAGCTGATGACTTAAAGCAAATTTAGAGTGTTGTCGTTTACAATGCAGTTAATACAAATAATATCTGCGCTGTTGTTATTCATAATATTTGTTCTAAAAATAACGCACTCTACTGGCTGGATATTTCAAACTCGGCCAAGAAACCGCACATCATCGGGGACCTTACGCAGAATGGCAATACCGATCTTGGCATCCTAAAAAGTGAAATAATTTAGTCTTCAAATAAATACAGCCGTTCTTCAAAATAAAACATTTTTTTTAAATAAAATTATTAAGTTATATACCTATAAATAGCATCTGTTTAAATATATATACGTAACCTAGTTTCTCAGTTTTTGAGATATAGATCTGAAATTTGGAAAATATTCTTTTTCACCCAAGAAGCTGCTCATCTGTTGGAACCCTCAAACCACTATATCATATAGCTGCCTTACAAACTGCACAAACTCAAGACCTTGTATGGAAAACTTTTTTATGAAATTAATATATGGTGTTCCAGACCGCTGAATCTTGGCGACATAACTGACTTATTTGGCATCCTAAAAAACCCCTGGGGTCTTATACCGCAATAAATATTTTTCAAAGAAAGTTATTGGCGCTAAAAGTAGGTGCCGCATTTAGTCACTCTGTAAAAGAAATGCAGTTATTTGACCAATCTACAGCAGTGTTTAAGCACGATCCGAATCTGCATCCTTTCGTGATCATTAACCGAACATGATTCCACTGGTACACGTCAAAAAGTAAGGAACAGTCGAAGCAAAAGACGTCAAATGAGAAACTGGACACACAGGAGCTATCTACGTCTACTACTTGGAGAACATTCACAGTGCTTCTGAATTATCAGACTGATTCGATCTCGAATTGCAGAACATATGGCCACATCTGGCGAAACTTCTATCCTATCCATCGAATTTTCCACATTGGCCACGGATAGAAATTTGAGATAGATAACGAGGTCTGTGAGCCGCCACGGAGGTCTAAAAAACATATTCTTCAGACAGTTAAAAGAAATTGAAATGTCGCCTAGTGATGAGTGTGTCGAGCTAAAGCGAGACTATGTATATTGAGATATAAATTACAGTCCAAAATGTTTATTTTTACTTTTGTAGCCAAAATATTTAACGGATATTTACATTAAAGAAGAAAATTTATATTTGTTATATTTAGTTATAGAGAATACATTGTTTGTTTCGTCAGCTATAGCCTGACGTCTTCGATGGCAACTTGCAACAAAATTTTCCGCACATTACAAAGAAGGCGATCTCTAGGTATGTTGGTGTAGCCGAATGATATATTTTATTGACATTAAAAATTTTGTTGATATTTTGGCTTCATTAAAGCCTCAACATTTTTTATTGGATTGGAATAAATTTTTGAATAAATATTTGTTATTTTCTTAGCGAAACATGACCCGACCTGTTGAAAAATGCCAAAAATTTATCATCTGTAAATATCACGGGTACATTGCTCCAATCACGGTTGATATTTTCGTGCCCCAAATGGGGGTTTGATTACTGTACTGCTGCCAGATCACTGAATTCTATCCCGTATTGTATTTGGAGATATATCTAGCTCTTTGTAAAAAAAAAATATTTACCTTCTCTTAGATTGAGCAGATTTTTCTTCACAAAAAAGAGAACAACAACTTTGTCCTCACTTTTAGATGTCGCGTGATCTACCTGGTCTGTAATCTATATTTCGAGTTACTCCATAATGGTCAGAACATCTCCTAAGACCTCATTTGGCACCTTAAGACTGCTTCATTAGATTACTTGCTTCAAAACGTTTCTAATACTGAGTTTTAATTTTTGTTATTTTACGACACGACGTGACACATTAAGGAGATCAAAATATCTTGACCGAATTGTACGCGTCGGTGATCGCAATTGAACATGTGTTAATTTGATTAGCAATCAAAAAGAAACAGTTTTCCGCGAATGGATCGTGCAAATATAAAATTTTATTTTTAGAATGCACTGTAAAACATTTCTCTAAGCCGCTCAAGAGTATTTTAAAAAGTACAAACTATCCTCTTTTGAATGTTTAAGTGTTAAGATTACGCTCAATGTGTATTACCAGTTGTTTGTGCGATGCATAATTCTTTATTATGCTCTTGCACTTTTCTACATTTTCTACTTTTCTTTACAATATTTTATTATATAACTTTAAAGTGCTTTTAAAGTAAGTCCATAGTAAATACTTCTACATAATAACTAATATACACTTCTATATGTATATATGCTATTATTGGTTCGATAATAAAAGCTCAAAGTAAAATATTGTTGTTATTATTTTGTTATGTTTTGTTTTAATTGTTCTCTATTTTATACTACACTGGCATATTGAGAGATTCGTGCAGAAGTATTGCGGTTGGATTGCACAAATAAAATAAAATATAAATAAAATGTGTCTGTGGGCTCAATATATTTCATATACTCGACCATGTGAAATAAAGTTGATATTAAATCTGATAACAAATAAAAAAAATTGCCGTAAGCTTGCAAAAATTTAAAATATTTTCGGAGCAAAAGTGGCTTCCATTAAAAGAAACAAATGTAGAGAAGATTGACTCAATAATTCCTTAACCCAATTTCTTTCTGGTTTTATTTGATTTTTCATTCAAATGTATTTAAATTGTGGTAGGAATTTCAAATGTTTCATGCATTGAACTAACGAACTTTGGGAAACGCCAACTATTTAGTCTCTACTTTATTTATTAAATTTTACAAATTTTTTGCCAACACATAAGCGACGTCATAGTCGAAGCACAACTACTTATGCACGTATTATATATATATATACATACATATATTAAAAAAAAAATATGTTATTAAAATATAAAATTTCAATTATTTGCAGTGGCATTGAAACAACTTTGTATGCGGCAATAAATGAAAACTTTCTAAATATGGATGAACATACATACATAATACATATGTACACATGAAGTGCCCACGGTAAACAAAAATAAAATCAAATAAATTTCAGCAAGTGTAGAGATAGGCAAAAATTGCAACCGACGACCATGAAAAGCTGTGTGAAAGTAAAAAGCTTAAAAATAGTTTCGGCAAATGGGACTTTTCGAGGAATGCAACACTTGACAAGCCAGCAGTAGTTGCGGCTTAGAGCAGTCGCTTGAAAATAAAAGCAACAACAGCAACAGTAATCACAAAAGCAATAACCACAGCAGCAGCAAGCGGCCAGAGTAAAATAGCAACACATTGAGAACAATCAAACAGCTGCACAATCGCATTTGTGTATTTAGCAATTTTCACATAAACACATACATACGTGCATACCTAGCAGAGAAATACACCATATACGAATGAAAAATGAAGCTGACGGAGTTGTTGTCCTACCTTTGCCTCTTGCTATGCGCCAGGACACAAGGTGAGTGGCAAACGCATATGTGTGTTTAGATTCACTAGATTTTTACAATCCATTATGTAGATAAGGCTTAATTTCAGATTTTCAAGATTTCAGAATTTAAAGCAAATGCATTTCGTTGTTTCGTGCAGCAATGCTTATTTTTCGATTTTAATTGAGTCAGTTATTCATAGAAATGGTCTTGAAGAAATAACGAGAAGGTAATTTCACACTCTCTTTTGAGTTTTCTGAAATTATTTATCTTTGGGTTTTTTGTGCTGGCAGAAAATATCTATAATCTTAGCGTATTAAAGAAAGGCAGAAACGCTATTGGAAATTTTTATGTTAAAATTAAAAAGAATTGTATAGTGTTTTAAATATATCATATTTAGTGTCTTATTAACTTATATTATAGTCCACGAAATATTCTAATGTTAATATTTTCAGTATATGAGGAAAAAAGGAAAAAATATTCTAGCGAAACGGAAATCATTATATTAGGCACATGGGCTTTATATCACGGTCTACACCAATTTAATTCATATTTAGCGCTAAATCACATCATGTTTATGAAAACCTCGAAATAACACATATATTGACCAAGATAAATGGTTTAAACTCAGCTAATTCAGTAAGTTTTGAACCGATGTTGTCTATTTTTGGACGTGACATTAAATACCCTGCAAAGTTTTATTTCGATAACGTCGTTGGCATTCGATTTATGTACCTACTGTAAAGTAAAAAAATCATACGAAATTTAAAATGGGGATATATGGGAAGTACGAGTGGTTGTAATGCGATTTTCATAACAAAATATAATAAAGTCAAAGTAATTTCATATTCAACTCAAAGTTTGTTTAAAATCGGTTAGAAGTTTCGCAGATAAAGGATTACACCCAAAGCTCGGCTCTGACATCCCCACTGTCCAATTTTGACACCGGCTTTAATATCTCCGACTCATTTACTTCTTGAGTTATCCTCCTTTTTGTAGTTTTCAACATAACTGCTGTATGGCGACTGGGCATGGTTAATATCTGATCTAATCATTTTGCACAGTAAATAAAGAAATTTTCGAAAGACTTCCTTATATAAAGTTTAGTTAAAATAGGTTAAGTAATTTCTGTTCTAGATGTGCTGATTAAACCTATTAGAGGCCAGAAAACCAACCGCAAAGCATTATTAAATATTTTCCGTAGCAGCAACATTTTTAAACTTGGATTAAAAATTGTACTTCCAATACCAATATACAATAGATATTACACTAGTGAATGACAAATCAAGGCAAAATTATCTTTGAAAATGATTCAGAACCAAAAACTATCCCCACAGCTAAGTGAAAATCACCATGCTTAATATTCTAATTGTAACAACATAACATTCACACAAAAATAACGTTTACAACCAAAAAATTTAAGTGAAATTATCTGAAATATAATGCCACCACACTGGGAATGAGTCCCACAGGAAATCCAGAAATAAAAAAAATTTTAAAAATGTTACCAAACATTGTACAATAGAATAGTGAGGTTAAAATATTGACGGACGCAGTTTGAAATAGTCATCACTAAGAAAATATGTTTTAACTACAGAAACAATAAAACAGAATATTTCATAAATTCTAGGCTTTCAAACAAAAAAAAAATTACAGCAGGCCATCAAAAACAAGTCAAAGAAAGACCTTAAGCACTTCGTAGACAACATAAGAGAAAATATCACCAACACCGCGATCTACGAATTTAGCTTTGAAGGAATTAATATATGTGTTTTTTAAAGAAATGTAAGTAACTTTATTCGAAGACTTATCACACTGGTAAATCTCAAATTATTTATCTCTAAGTGAACGACTGAACATTGAAAAAATTAGAAAAGCAAGACAAGGGTTGCTGGCGGTCTTCCAAATCTATTTGATTTTGGATCAGTAAAATATAAAATAATGGTGTAATAGTGTGCACATAAACAATAAAATAATTTCGATGAAAAAAGTTCTGGAGTTTTTATCAATATATACTGGTCCCTTAGCTTCGCCCGCCACTTGGTTAATAACTTTCTAAAGAGTAAAATATAATCAAATTATAGGTTAAGAAGCTTTGTTAGAATAATAACATTCAATTTATATATTTTGAAACAATATTCTAGCAGAAATAGTTATGGATACGTAGACAGCCAAAAATGTATTTACTTTTCACATATAAGTTCCGCACGTTTGTCTAGAAACCCATAAATAAACACTTTCGATTATTTGCGACACACTTATCGGTACATACTTATGTACAGACATGCTGTTAGACTGCCATACTATTAAGCACACTTAACTGCGTTATCATTTTAGTTATTTATTAGTACTTCACGGGCGAAGCTTTAATTTTTTAAAAGCTCATTTTAAGAAATTTGCTTTGCTCGCACTTTACACGCTTAAAACTTACGCACACGATGCAGCAATTTGAACCCACACACACATGAACGTATGCGTTTTACATAGCGAAGTCCTAAGCAACCTTGCTGCTGATTTATTGTCCATAAAATTTATGGTAACTTTAATCCAAGCGTTTTGCTTCTTGTACCGTGTAACAGCATTTTTTCCAAGCAGCTCCCGGACAGACAACAGACGGGCAAATAGTTGTGCATGGGGTGATCAGCGGAGAATATACCTAGGAGACGCGTAGGCGGCTACCCACGTTACAGACGTGCATGCAACTGGAGCATGCAATTTGAAATATTCCACACTGACGGTGGCGGGATCTGCTTGCTATGCACAATAAATGGTGGAACTTAAATGTCCTGGCGTCCTGGTGTCTAGCACTAAGATCCTGGCATCCATTTTGGCCGATTTCGCTGTTATTGCTTTGCGCTGCTTGTTATTGTTGCTGTGAACAGCTTATCCTGCTTTCACCTTAATGCTTTTGCTTTCTCTTTTTATTCATATTACCGGGTTATTTTTCTGTTATTGCTGCTGTTGTTAGTTATTTTAGAACAGCATGCAGTTCCACTGAGTTTATTTATATACATGGACGTAATATCGTGGATATACATGCACCGTTGTGCTTAATTGTATATATGGTACATATGTCTATATGTATATATTTAGAGAAGTGCAATACGCGCAGGAAACTATACCTTAAATAGTGCCAGGAAGTGCAGTTGAAAGTGTATTTGGGTTACGGGAATTTCGACAAAAAACCTAAAATGAATTTGGACAAATAAAATGCTTGGCGAAAAGTCTATTTTTATTTGCTTTTAAGTCAAAGTTAAGAAGCTGAAAAAAAATAAACGTTGCTTTAGGGAACGACAAAGAGTTTATTTAAAACTGTGCCTGCCTGTGAAGTTTTCAACGAAAAATTTCAGCATATCGTTGCACATTTTTGCCGAGTCCAGCAAGAACTGCGAGCCTTACGAATTCACAGGCAGAGGAGATTAGGTCTGCAGATAGCAAAGTTGGTTGAAAAAAGTCTTTGCAACAGCCGAAAGTGCGAGCGCGCGGTGTCGTTTAAATTTATATGGAAAGTTTCGGTGCAATTTACTCCTATAGTAATTAACGATTGTAATGGAATAAGGTAGAGTTTTGCTTGATTACGATTGCACGACCATAGTAAATCTTAGTATTATCCATTTGGACTAATAGCTCAGTCAAGACGGAAAGCATTAATGTACATTGCCAGCTCAGATTCACTGAAGTCAAAAATGCGTAACTTCATTCTCAAGGTTGACGATCACACTAACTTACACACTCACTTTATCTAAAGTCAGATTTTCTTTAATATTAGAACTCATCATACAATTTTCTACTTTTCTGACTGCGTTCGTAAAAATTGGCACTCGTATAAAACTAAAAAGTATAAATTTCAAAAACTTCAGCACCTAGTAGTACAAGTAATAAATAACAAAACGATAGCAAAAAACTGGTTATGTCTTTTCAAAATTATCAAATGAATTTTGGCAAAGAACTAATTATTTTTAACATTATCGATTGCTTGATTAACTCTATCGATTTTGGTAATGACTTCTTACAAATTTACTTCAAGATTTCTCGCCATCTCGATCTTCTGGAGCTGGATATGCAGAAAATAAATCAGCGAATTTGTTGTAAAGCGAAGATAGCGACTATTAATTTTCCTACACCACCGGTCAGTTTCATTCGATTTTGAGTTTCAAATTAGCAATTGCTTACAAATTTTAAAATTGTAATATTTTGCACTGTGACATACTTTCCTAGCGCGGAAACGCATAGACCCTTTGTATGTAAAATTATTGCTGCTGACGTGAAGGGTACGTCATCTTTTCAAATAACGTCACTAAAAGTAATCAAGGGAGTTAAATCTGGAGATCTGGTTGACCAGTCAACGCTACGTTCTCTAAACATTAGATGTGCAGGGAATTTATGTTCTCGAAAATTAGTAGTTTGATACTCAGCATGACTACCTACTCTAGGGTGTTTTTCTGAAACCAGTAATCGTCAAAAACTTTTTCATGCACATTTGGGGAGATGTAATAATCTAATATGCACCGGTATATAATTATTTAAAAAATATAGTCGAGTAATGGTTTTGGTACAAACACTGGATTTCCTGTTCTTCATATATGGCAAGCGTTCCTTATTTCGCTGTAGCCTTAATTCACCAGTTCTAAGCGAATGTTTTTTTTCATATGCACATATCAATAATATAATTGTTCTTAAACTTCAGTTACACAAAGAATTTAATATCAACAAGTAAAAATTTTTAAATAAATTCACATATATTTTTGCATCTTTCTTCGAGGGCCAATTGTAGCTAATTTCCGAAATGCATGTAGACATTGGCCTCAAAAATGGCAACCAACCATGTGACAGCATTTTCCTTAAATGCATCCTGCTATTACACACTACCTAAGTGTAGAACAATCATAACGAACTGACACAACAAAAACATATGGTAAACCCGAACGAAAAATAAGTGGCAGGAAAAAGTCAACAAACAGCAGGCGGCGACATGAAATGCAAATTTCTTTAGAGCGACATCAGTACTTATATGAGCGCATATATATTTTTA